GGCGCCCCGCGAGCCCGGCAGAGGGTGGGCCCGGCACACAGAGCGCTCTGTCCAGCGGCCGCGGGCGGCGGGGTCTGTGCAATCTTTGCCGCTACCTCCGCCCCCTGTTTCCTTTGGCCTCCAGCCGGGTCTTGGCGCCTCTGGCCTTGGGATTTTCCGTGTCTCCTGCCTGGAGCAGTGACTCATAAGGCCCAGGGGATTTGCCCGGAATCCCCTTTTCTTGGGCGGGGAGCGAGGACTCTTTGGGGACCGTGTCCCGCGGGCAGTGAACCCTCTCCGGCATGCCCCTGCCATTTCTTCGCCTCTTTCCCAGTTCTCAGATGAGTGTGAACAGCGCTGCAGCCTGGGAGGACCCGGTACTTGCGGTCTGGTCAGAGGGTGGGGGCGCGCAGCCCACGGCTGGCCAGCCTGCCCTCTCCCTGGGCACTGGGGCTGCACCACTGGCATTTTCTGGGACGGAGTGGCCACTCGAGGTCCCGGTCTTGCACAGACACCAGGCCTCCCTCCCCCACCCCCCTTGGCCTTGGAGCGGCCTGGAGCCCGGCTCCGGGCTGGCCCTGTGCTCACAGAGATGTCCCCGTCCTCGCAGGCTGAGCAGCCCAAGGTCCTGAGTGCCGTGGAGGACCGCATGGACGAGCTGGGCGCTGGCATCGCACAGGCCCGGCGCATGGTGACCCTCATCAAGGTCAGACCCCCCACTATAAACTCTTCCCCCTGCCTGCAGCCAGCTCCTGGTGTGGGGGTTCAGTGTGGTGCCATTCACTGCAGATGAGCTGTGCTAGGCCTGTGGGCACCGAACATGTGTGTCCACCCTGACGTGGCAGAGACCCAGGGCAGCTCGCTGAGCCCTCAGGAACCCAAGAGGGGCCTCTCTGGTGGCCCCTAAGGTTTTAAGCCGCAGCTCTATGAAGCTATCGGCAGCCACTGCAGCATGAGTTCGATCCCCAGTCAGGGAGTGACCCACAGGCCACAGCAGACCTCTCCTGTCTCCCCGTTGACCCCTCAGCAGTGAATCCACCTGTTCTGCCCCCCACTCTGTCAATGGTGAATCCTTTCACCCCCCACACCTCTGGCCTGTACCCCAGTCCTTATGTGCATAAATAAATCTTAAGAAAAGAACCCAAGAGGCCCCGTGGGAAGCGGGGTCTCGGGGCACCGGACCAGAGCAGCGATGGCCCCTCTGACCCCTGCACAGAGCGCTGCCGAGGCGGAGCGCGAGAGAGTGAGCCTGCTCTTCGCGGAGGCCGCCGCCACCCTGCAGAGGTTCCAGACGGAGGTGCTGGGCTTCATCGAGGAGGGCGCGGCCGCCATGCTGGGCAGCTCCCAGGGCGACCTGCAGCGGCAGGAAGAACAGCGCAGCCGGCTGAGCCGCGCCCGGCACAGCCTCAGCCAGGTCCCTGAGGCCGACGCTGTCAGCTTCCTCCAGGTGAGGGCCGCGCTGACACCTTCAGGGGCGCAGGCGAAGGGTGGCGGGGCACGCATGGGAGGAGACACGGGCCCTATCCCGCAGGCTGTGCCAGTCCCCCCGCAGGGCTGCCGCCCAGTGGGGGGGCGGTGGCACAAGGCCTCATGGGCATCCCCTGGTGCAGGAGCTCCTGGCCCTCAAGCTGGCCCTGGAGGAGGGGTGCGGCCCGGGGCCCAGCCCCCCGCAGGAGCTCACCTTCACCCAGTCATCCCAAGCTGTTCAGACCGTGAGAGATGCGCTGGCTGCAGCCTGCACCAGCCAGTTGGAGCAGCTGCGGGGGCTGGGCAGTGATGAGGACAGGCTTCGGAAAACAGACATGAAAGGTGGGTGCGCCCCCACTCTGTGACTCACCCTTCCCCAGGCACCCTGCACAGGCCCCAGGCCTGGTGCCCATCAGAGTGGAGGGTGGAAACTGTGTGCCTGGCACAAGGCGGGACCCAAGTCTTGCCAGCGGCCAGAGCCACCACCCTGTCACAGCCAGTCAGCCCGTTGGCCTGGGTGCAAAGAGGACTTCTGGCGCGGGAGAAGCTGATGCCCACAGGGCAGGTGGCACAGACCTGCGTGGCACATGGGTGCCATGACTGTGCCCAAGTGGCTTGAGTTGCTGGGACGACCGGCAAGAGGGAATGCCGGGTGGGGGTCATGCGTTCAGAGGGGACAGACATCTGGCAACTCAGAGCCCCCCTCACAATGCCCCTCACCGGGTTCATGCAGAGCTGCAGGACCCCGACAGCACCGACCCTCTGGAGAGTGAGCCCCCCAGGGATTACTTCCTCAAGTGTAAGTGGCCCCCGGCTCTCCCCTCCACCACACCGGGCTTCCCACAGGGCTGGGCCAGGCTTGGCCTGAGGCCTTGGAGTCCCTTCCCTGGTCCGTGGGGTGTGGGGTGGGTGTGTGGGG